TGGTGCCGTTGTATAAGGGCAAAGGAGATGTGAGAGATTGTGGATCATATAGGGGTGTGAAATTGCTAGAGCACGGAATGAAGGTAGTGGAGAGGGTGCTTGAGAGGAGGTTGAGAAGTATGGTGACAGTTAATGAAATGCAGTATGGGTTTATGCCTGGTAGGGAAACGGTGGATGCGTTGTTCATGGTGAGAATGTTGCAGGAGAATTATAGAAAGAAGAAACGAAGATTGTACATGTGTTTTGTGGAACTAGAAAAGGCTTTTGATCGAGTACCAAGGAAGGTCATTGAATGGGCGTTGAGGAAGAAAGGAGTGAATGAGAGACTTGTTAAAGCTGTGATGCAGCTGTATGAAGGGGCAAAGACAAAGGTGAGGGTTAGAAGGGGGATGTCGGACGCTTTTAGTGTTAAGGTAGGAGTGCATCAAGGATCAGTGTTATCACCGTTTCTGTTTGCAATTGTGATGGATGTTGTGTGTGAAAACATAATGGAGGGGTTGTTATTTGAGATTTTGTATGCAGATTATTTAATCTTGATGGCTGATAGCATGGAAGAATTGCAGTTAAAATTTGACAGATGGAAAAGTGTTATTGAAAAGAAAGGGTTAAAAGTTAATATTGGTAAGACGAAGGTAATGGTGGGTGGGGAAGGTGGGGAGCGAGTGATAAGTAAAATAGACCCCTGTGGGGTATGTGACAGGAGAGTGAAGGCTAACTCGGTATTGTGTATAGGATGTCAGAAATGGGTGCATAAGAGATGTAGTGGTGTGAGGGGGCACTGAAAAAGGTGGAAGGCACGTTCAAATGTAAGAAATGTGTTCATGGTGTGATTAATAGGACGGACGCAAGGACGGGGTTGAGTGGTGGTATTGAAAGAGTGGAAAGCTTTGTTTATTTAGGGGTTAAGCTTAACGCAGATGGAGGATGTTTGAGCGCAGTTACGGCTAGAGTTCGTGTGGGGTGGATGAAATTTAGGGAACTGGGTGGGGTATTATGTGGAAAGAAATGGTCAGTGAAGATGAAAGGGAGGGTATATAAAGCATGTGTGAGAGCAGCGATGGTATATGGTGGTGAAACTTGAGGAGAGAGGAGGAAAGTGTACTGCAGAGGGCTGAAAGAGCTATGGTGAGGATGATGTGTGGGGTTAAAGTGAAGGATAGGAGTAGTACAGAGCTGATGTCAATGATGGGACTTAATGAGGACATTGTGACATTGATAAGGAGATCGAGATTGCGGTGGTATGGACGTGTGTTGAGAAGGGTTGAAAGGGTCGGGATTAGGCGAGCGTTGGAGTTCGAGGTTGAAGGAGTGGTAGGAAGGGGTCGTCCGCGATTGGGATGGAGAGAGCAGGTGGAGAAGGACAGGGTGAAAGCGGGGTTGCGTGATACTGAGGCGAGTGACAGATGTGGGTGGCGTCGAGGGGTATTTCGGTTTCATCATAGGTAGCCAAACGGCAACCCCCGATCTCGGGGAAAATGCCGTCTAAAAGTGTGTTGTTGTTGTTTTACAATTATTTTAAAATTAATTTTCTGAAATTGCACCTGACACTATTTGATTTTTATCCAAAAATGTTCGAAGAAAAAATAATTGTCTGCACACTAAAAGTGAGCTCATTATCATTATTATTGCTGTTGTTTTTGTTGTTGTTATTATCATTATCATCATCATTGTCACTGCTAGATTGTTAGTGGACCCGTTGAACATCATCTTAACCGTGAGTTAAATATTAAACAAAATTTTGTCCTCGATATTAATTTGAAGTTAGAAAATCTAAAAAAAACTAATTTAACATTATCAACATTAACGAAGATATGAGATTTCAGTTTAACAACCTGGACGGCGTGATGGCTCAATGGTTAAAAGCGCCTGGTCTTGCTATTGCTATGACTGGGTTCGAATACAAAGAGATCCCCGCCTATCATATGCATCGTGGTTTGCACGCGTATTCATATACGCTGTATGTGTTTGTCGTTGAAATCTCTGAAGCAAACGCAAAAGAGAGAGAGAAACCTTTAAGACAACGTCGTTCATCACATCAACGCCTTTTTAATCAACGTATTCATCGAAAATTAAGTTCTCTCTTTTATGCGAAGAAAGAAAGTATCAATAACGAAAATTATATCAGTTTAAGTAATCTTGCGCTAACAGATAGACAAAAAGATGTTTTAAATCTGGGTATAAACTGCTATTATCTCAAAAAA